TTTTGATTTTCTAAGAACTTTCAGTTTGACCCTCGTATACTATAATAAAAACGTAACCGATCGATGTCTGTACATTGAAGATATATGAAAAAAACTGTTATGAGGGACGTTTATAAGAGTAATAGAACACAAAACAATGATTTTTAATTTTTTTGTCTGTTTGTCTGTTTGTCGGTTTGTCTGTTTGTCTGTGCGTTTGTGCACGATAAACTCAGAAACGGCTGAACCGATTTAAATGCAGTTTTCACTATTATATTGCGGCATTCTTCCGTTAACATTTAGTGTAAAATTTATTTCAATCGGTTCACAAATAAAAAAGTTATGTCAATTTGAAGTGACGTGGTCGCCAAAATTGCAATGAAATATTAACTGTTTTATTAAATTTTTTTCTTTGCTATATTGATCATCATCATTAACTCTTTCACAGCCAAACTGCAGGGCCCGTCACCCATCCCGTGAACAACTCTTGCGAAAATTGCTTAGCAATAACGATCGTGCGCAACGGCGCATATCCGTAGCGCCACCGAGCTACGAATTAATATTGTGTATAAAATGATAATTTGTATGATGACAAATAAAAAAATAAGATTCCAAAATTTTGACAACTCCGAAGTAAGTTGACCTCAATTATATATGGCCAATCATATTAAATAGGGTTCAGTTTATAATGAACATGTGGTATACGATCACGCGAGTAGGAGAACAAGCGGAGAGAGCCTTCTGATGATGCAATTAAGCCTCGAGTAGTTTACAGTGAACGCATATTTTTATCAGATTAGGTTCACGTCGTCGTCGGGGCCAGCGGAGGTGATTGGCAGCCGCTCCCGCATTGCACGGTTTCGTCTGTCTGAGAGAGGCACTCGATTTACCCGAGTCTCTCCAATTTTCCATCTGGTCCAATACTTGAGTGTCCTGGTGACTCGGCCATAGCTTGCCGGTTTTCATTTACCATGAGAAGGTGTAGAGTACGGATTTTGGTGGGTAGGCCTCTGGGGAACCACCGGGCAGCTCAGTGTCGGGTTCACGGAGGAGAATCCTACTCACTCCCTGTAGCTTGCCAGGTAACAGAGACAATGTCAGAAGTTTTTCCACGACGTTAAAAAACTTAGATTCACGTCAACTGAAGTTAAGAACGTAAAGTCAACTCGAGTTATATATATTTTTTTCTCTTATTGCTATTTTTTTATGTTAATACTCTTTTTGTTTTTTTTTAACATACAAATTGCTGTAGATACGTACTTCAAAGTTGGTATTTTCAGTCTTCGCTGGAAACAATGCTTTATTCATTGGTCACAACACTCATATAATATTACGCGAGTCTGAGGGTCGGTTCAGAGTAGCTCGGTGGCGAAGTGAATAAGTGCCATGGCCCGCGATTGTAGTTGTTAAGCAACTTTCGCAAAAGTCGGGCACAGGATGGATGACCAAAAAATATTATCTCAAGCAACTCCAAGCTTCGGAAAGCATGTAAAGCGATTGGTCCCGGTTGTATTTGCAGTCGTTAATATCCTCCAATCCACATTGGGCCAGCATGGAGGGTCGTGGCCCATCCTCTTTAACCATCCATATGGAAGGCCTAAGCTCCTGCAGTTGGTGACGTAAAAGGCCTAATGATGATGATGAGGGCCGTTCAAATCTGACAGAAGCTCAGTTAAGCACCTCACGGAAGTATGTTAGTAGACGATTTCCTTCGAGTGTGGAAAGTCGAAATTAAAATATGTATATATATTTTTTTATATCAATAAATAAAACTCCACGTATCTTCCGTCAGACATGTACTGACCGACTTTTATAGACAAAGAAAGAGATCAGACAGAAAGCGCTCGGTCTCGGGAGACACCTGAAAAACGCGAAGCGTATTTAACTGCCCATAGCGAGGCTCATGCACTATAAAGTTGAATCTGAAGCATTTACATACATGCAGTATGGTATGAGTATAAAACTTCTTTTGATAGGGAAATGCGCTTGGTCTCTGAAAGAGCTCGCAGTTTGCACAATAGAGATCGAGAAAGTAGTTTCGATTATCGCCAACCAGTGTTGACTTCATACTCCACAGGCGTACCGCAGATAAGTTTTCACAGGGTATAATGAACTAGCTGTTTTCCCACGACTTTGCCGCAAAATTATAGCCTATGACATGCGCGTCTGATGTAGCTTCCCGTAGGTCGGAATCGCTCTGCAACTATCGGTCCAGTAGTATTGGAGCAAATTCGATGCATACAAACAAACAACCAAATCTTTCCTCTTTATAATATTAGTATAGCTCAGGTATAAGGGGTCCGATGATGTAGTGGGTTAGCGCATTCGGTTTAAATTACAGTTAAATAAGTAAATAAATACTGCACAACAAGGACATACATGAATACTTATTTTACATAAATAAGTACAAACGACAAACTCATCGCTAGCCAGCGATTTCTTCCAGGCAAACTAGCATTACATGAAAAATAGAACAATAAATAGCCGATTGTGCATACAACTAGACAAATAATAATAATTTAAAAAGATCAAAAACAAAAGAAGGACCGTTTAAAGGTACGAATAAAATGCTCAGACACAAGCGACAACCAGAGCACGAGAAACGAGAACAAATAGAAAAATAACATTCGTAAGGACCGTTTACAGGATGGGTGACCAAAACATTATTATCTTGAGCACTGTGCACAACATAGCATAATGCACGCTAAGCCGTTAGTTCTGGCTGCATCAGCAACGTTAACACCCACCGATCCGCATTAAGCCCGCGTATAGGTTTATGGTCCATTGATCTTATTCGATTCGTCTGTATTCATAGCAAAATGAATTCTACCAAAATACTTCCCACGCAGACGAAGTCGCGGGCACAGCTAGTTTATAATATATTTCAATGTCAGAATTATCAGAATAAGAACTTATTTTTTCTACTATGGCACTATTGTCATCATCTTATCCTAGATAATGTCACAGTCTGCTTAAACTAAATTTTCTATAGGCTACGATTAAATATCTTACCCTATCTATATGTCAATTAGTTTAAAAATTAGACACACTATAACCTAGTATAAATCTTTACGTAAATGCTGTAGATGCGGTACAGTTGACGAAATCAGATTACTTTAAATGAACAAATTACTTTAATCGATTTTTAACTGTCTGTTAAACTAATGACTGGTACCAGAAACTTGAAATGAGGAATTTTCAAACATCTTTGTTTATAAAGAAGCAATAACAAATTAACCCTTTAAAAATATGGAAGTAACACTGATTGTCAATTATGAGAACGTGTCACCAGAGCAAACGGGCAAGGTCAGGGGCGGGCCGAGGACGTCTCGTGGTGTACGTGTACCTATATGACTAAGGTGGAGTCTCCTAGTATCGGCTATTGCCTAATATTGGTCGTTTCGAGAAAATGAAGCATAAATCGTCTTAAATTGAAATTTATTTAACGCAAAAAGTAGCTCTATTTGGTGGCTTTTTCTAGTCAAATTCGTGAGTCGACACATTGCGTTGACGTGTATTTAATTATTTTTGAAGAAAAAGAGTTAAAGTACCGTTAAGACAGTATGTTTTTTACGTTTCCTTGTCTTTTTATAAAATAATCGAGAGGCCGAGATTAGGGATTTGTATTATTGTTAAATCTCAATATCGGCGAAGTGGTTGATATTAGGGAAATACATTAAAATTTTAAATTTTAATGTCGGCCGCCTAAAAACTATTTTTATCTACCTAACTTCTCCTTTGAATAGTATGCCGACATCAGGGTCACATGCGGCAGTTACTAGGGTGTTAGAGATCTATATTAGGGAAAATCGGCTTACTGAAAACTAACAAAGGATTCGCAATTTTGCGAATGCAATAATGGAATTTAATTATCTTGTTACTCAAAAAAGACATCACAAGAAGCAATTAAAGATCAAAAAAGTTGACATGGCCGATCATTGGTGCCTCCACCCTGTATGACGGTAACCACGCAGGATGGCGAGTAATGGATTGTATACCCAACCAATATGACGTGACACGAGCTAATATGTTTTATGATTTGTTACTCACACTCACGACACTAACGTGTTGTAATAAATTTTTTGTGGAATATCGATTACGTTAATTAGTTTCTTAAGCAAAATAGCAGATATAGCAGTTCTACTTTAAAAACATTAACAGTATAAAATAATATTCAGCAGGTAGTAGCGCTTGGATAGTTTCGTTCAATAAAATTCTGTAAGTCACTGCCGGCAATTAGTTGACAAAAGCCTTCAAGTCGACGCTATTAAGGCGGACAGCGATTTAGCAAATGTTGTCGTTTTATGACTGAATCATTTGCATTTCTTTGTGTTCGATGTAACGTGAACAAATCGCTTAATATAGTGTGAATGTTACACTATACACCATAAAGTTTATAGTAGTTTATAATACTACAAATATTTGCTAAATATTTTCTTAAATGACTTTTTCTAATACCTATTACCTTTCAATTTAGGCAATTATTTTTTTTTATTTCAAAAATATTTTATCAATAATCCTGATAAAAGTTTTTGAGTGCCTAGCACTTTATAGATTTAAATATAACTTGTAAAGGTCAAACATTAAAGGCACTTATGAATTTTATGAAATTACTAATTTTTTTATTAATTGCACCAGTAATAAAGTGTTATGGACTTCAAGAAATTTGAAATCATGTATTTTTTCGTGATTCTTTAAATTACAGTGTGTCTTTTATATCTTCGACTAGCTTTCCATATCTGTAATAATTTTTCTCTTGAATCACTCAATCTGTTGTTGTAAAGCGTATTAAAATCCGTTATACAGGTTAAAGATCACAGCGTACAGACAGAGGAATCGACTTTGTTTTATACTATATGTAGATCTTAGAATATTTGATTTGGCCAATATTGTACCTTTAGCTAAATGATATTAAATGCAATTAATGTGTATAGGAAGCTAACTCATGCCTTTGCGGAGTACATAGGTACTCTTTGGAATAAATAACTTTAAAAAATAACTATACTGTTTATTTTTTTTAGGTGGAGCCTAGCCCCGGAGGCGCTGCCTGTCCACCTCGCCTCGTACGTCGCCGACGATGTAACAGGGTTTGCTAGAACAACTAACCGCATATCTAGAAAGATTTAGATAAACATTTTTACTAGTGTAGTCAGTTTCTAGTTGTCAATTTTAATATTAATATTGGAATTGGAAAATATGGAGTATTTTGTTCTAGTATACAAAAGCTGTAACAATTTAAGATGTTATAGAATGTTTTTAATAGGGTCACGTTAAAAATGACAGATTTTATTTTCCAGATTTAGTTTGATATAAGACACAACTCCTATACAACTTTAAGCATTTTTCAGCATTTATTTGTTCCAGTAAATATTTAGATAGGTATGCCGACATTTACCAATAAAATAAGAATTTGATTAAGTTACATATAAGTTATGTTTAATAATACACGAATCGAGAAGCAATGAAATACACATTTCGATTCGTGTATTAACATATATTGTTTTCCAATGATAAACGTCGATAAAACCAAAGAATATTCAAAGATAATTCATAATTATTAATCTAATAATGCTTGATCAAATGCCAAAATATCAAAAAAGATATTGGAATAGTCTTTTATCTAAGTGATCCTTCCTTACTCCGTGTGCGCCAAATGGAAATTTATGTAGTAGTGTAAGCTGTTCGAGTCGTTCGGTGATTTATTTTATAACCCCAATTTTCCATACCTATACATAGGAACAAACATAGGAACCGTGAGAAAGAAGAAGAAAATAAAATAAAGCATATTTGATTAAGATGTGTAAGCGTAACCGCAGTTGCATTATTAATAGAGCAATAAAGAAATTCATAAAGTAAAGCTTCTTTTATTTATTCGTGTTAGATTCTGAGTCAGGAAAATATGTTTGGGTGTTTTTTTGGGCCGGGTGCTGTCCTGTCAGAATATTAGAAATTGGTAATATAGAGTGCAAAGGTGTCTGTACACTATATTATGTTCCATGGAGATGGCTAAACTAATAAATGTCATAATTTGCCGAGATAGGTATATTGGTCAGGAGTATGTTTAATGCTATGAGGTAATTATTGAAAATGCGTTTATTATATTACAAGTATGAAGACGTCTTTATTATTTTCTCCAATGTTGCCTTCTACGAATTAAAATTTGCCGAAATGCCATCTGATTCTGATATTAGGTATATAAGCAGCAGCAAAGTAGCGATAGTTTTATTCAGTACGGACAAAGCTATATATATTTTATCAACGATCTCATAACGTGTACTAGAGCAGTTGGTAGCATCACTAATTTTATATTTGTTTCGGCAACAAATGCCGTGAATTGGACGACATTGAAAATCAAAAAGGCATATCACGTGCACCGCGAGGTCGCCACTAGCATGCTAATGGTGTGTGTGACCCACACCGCACCGGTAGGCCGATTCATATACATGTCGCAGGCATTTTGTATGAAACCGCCGTTTACATACGGCGTCGTCAGTTTAGAAACGCTCGCTATTATGTAATATGCCGAAGGAAAAATGTATATTGCCGATTCATTATATATTGTGCCTAAACATTAGATTGATAATTCAAACGCCATCTACATAATACCGCGGCAATATAAATAATTAGTTTTGTTTCTTACCACTCGCGTTGTTGTTGATCATAACAAACAAAATGGCATCAATCAGTGGTTTTGTGACACAAAAAGATATTGAAAATAGGGCAAATACTGCGTGTTCAGGAGACTTTTTGCAAAATACTTGTGATTTTAAAGACATTTACTTTAGTGAATAAAAAAGAAATTACGATATTCAAGCGGGAGCTATAAAAAGCCGTGGACAAATGAGAAGATTTTTGATGTAATCCGGCACCTCAAAAATGCTAAGGTTTCCATAGAATCTGGCTCTCGGAGAATACCTGCCCAAAATTATTGATCAAATAAATATGAGGTTATAAGTATTAGTGATGATTACTACCTTATCCTAAAAAGGATAGCCCTGATAGTCTAACGGTTCGTGTAATACCATCAGAAGATTATTATGACTTAATATTTGATATTCATAGAGGCTGCGGACATGGTGGTCAAGATAAAATTCAATATAAAATAAAGGATAGATTTATTATTGTGAGAAAAGTGATCGACTTATTCGTCTCATTGTTATCTGTCTGTGAATCCAACATACAACATACCAAAGAAAGGCATCGTAGTTAAACCAATTATATCTAGAGATTTTAAAGAGGGAACTAGTGGTGCTCATAAATGTTGTTTTCGTTTTAAACCAGTTCATACTATTAGCGGGGACACAATTGGTAAAGAAGGTTTTGGCTCAAAAGTTTCGTGTTTTATGTGTAAATTTTGCTGCATCAAGGCAGCTGTAGATATTGGAGATATCGTTTTTTTTAACTTCCCAAAAATTGATAGAAGGTCCGATACTCAAAATATATCTGGAAAAGTATTGGATATGAGACATGCCGTTTACCAAATTAGCACAAGTAATGGGATTATCAAAAACTGGTTTAAGTTTAGTGTAAGAAATTCTTCAAATATAAGATAATTCCTTAAGAGAATCTATTTCTAAAGAATCTTTATTTGGAGGAAAAGGTTTTGGCAAATGCTTATGCAAGTCGGCTAAAAGGCAGTGTTAAAATAGCGGATGTGCATGTTTTAAAAAGAATATTCTTTGTGGGTCCAAATGTCACACAAGTTTGACACGCTCAAATAAATAATTCTTGATTTAATTATTAAAACCCGCCTATTTGTATTCTTGGGTATTGGGAAATATTAAGTGATTTCGTTGAAATACGGATTTTTACATTGATATTGAACTAACCAAAACATTAAAAATTATAACAAGGATAATTCAAAATTAATATATATTTTAAATAGTATCATTGGATATCTCCACCCCTCCAATCCGCATTGGGCCAGCGTGGAGGGTCATGGCCCATCCTCTTTAAACATCCATAAGAAAGGCCTGAGCCCCTGCAGTGGGGACCTAAAAGGGCTGATGATGATGATGATGATGATCATTGGATTTCTTTGAAATGTCATATAAGTTAGATGAATATGTCAAGACTTCAAGAAATTATTAATGTAGCCACCTAATTGTTTATCTTTAAAAAGTTAATTATTATTTAAGCTGATTATTCAAAACTGTGTTTTCTTCATGGTCACCCTAAAACTATAACCAACATTAAAATTATAACAATTGAACGAATTGTCATTTTGCCTTCGGCAAATTACTTAACAGCGAGCGTTTCTAAACTGACAACGCCATATGTAAACGGCGGATTCATACAAAATGCCTGCGACATACATATATTTTATGTGCTATAGTTGAAAAAGAAGCCCGAAGGCGGTTAGCATTTTCTGTCTGCGATTAAGGAAGTTTAGTAACTTTCGGAAAGGTCTATGATAGGATAGAAAGCCAAAAGTTATTCAAAAAATTCAAAATAAGCTTTAGCACACTCGCGAGACATAGCATTGGTGCTCACGGTGAGTCGTTGATGTTTATACGTCAACGGAATCGCTATCACTTTGAATAACTTCTGTTATGGCGTTATATTCGTATCATAACAGCAAAAAAACAAAATCCGAAGATCTGGAACAACTGCTGAGTTGTTCCAGATCTTCGGATTTTATATGTCAATTTAAAATGTTCATCGTGTTGAATAACTTTTCCTTAGACGTTTTATTCATATCTCTTATGGTTTAGCTGGTCTGCTAGGGTTCTACATCAGGCTTTCTGATCTTCAAAATAATTTGTAGTATATAAGTTGCCGAGGACTAATATCTATACAACTAAAAAAGTTCATCAAAATCCATCCAGTAGCAAACAACAAACATATCGACAAAAATTTAATATACAAAAATTTAAAGTCATTTTTTGATTTATATAACTTGTGTTAAAACCCCCTGAAGTATTTCTTTTTCAGAATTTTGTCAGCATGGTGGATTAGTTACACGTTACTTACGGCCGGTTTTCCCTGATTCATTCCAAGGGAAATTAATATAATGTAAGTTGGTAACATTATTATAGTCAAACTTTCAGAAACCCGATTTTAAAGACTTTATAACACAACCGTAAAAGCAAAAACAGTATTACGAACTGGCCATCAAACCGGGCTGTGTAAAGAAATTTAATTTATTTTTATTTCTTTTTCTATTGATACATGTTAAGTAGAGCTTTTTTGTCTGTTTTGTTTTTCGCTTTCGCGCTGCTCGCCTCTGATAAATTTTTTATTGTAAGTTTTTACTGTATAATATTTTGTTTTATTATTAATATATTTTATCTTTCATCCTTACTTTTAGTCCTTTATTTATATCCTACAATTATTTATAAACAGAGTTCATGTTGAAACATCAATAAGTACTATGAACTTGCTGCTCAAGTTCCATTGATATCAATTAAGATTTCTGGATTGTTTATCTTTAAAATTATACCAACGCTTCATAGAGACTCTTTAACATCTGTTACAATCACAACGACATAGTAATTAATCACTTTTAATAATTTTCAAGGACTTCTATTCGTCGTTAAACAAAAAAATATACCTACTTCGTATAAAACGAGTAATTATTAGGTGTGTGCCTAAAGTAGGTATATGACGATTTTAAATAATATCGGGTTGGCACAAAAGTAATGAGACACTTGGTTTAAGTTTTTACTTTTTTATTATTATTACAATAAAAAAGTTTAGTCAATGATGTAATTACCATTAGTATCTAAGACTTCTTGCCAACGATCCGGCAAAGTTTGGATGCCTTTTGCCCAGAACTCTGATGGCTGTGCCTCGAAAAAGTTGTTCAACTCCGCCTCTACGTCAGAGAAATCATTAAATTGTTTACCCCGCAAATGCTGTTTCAGGGCTCTAAACAAATGATAGTCTGATGGGGCGAGGTCTGGGGAATAAGGTGGGTGGGGTATCGTCTCCCAGCCCAAGTTCTCCAACTGCCGGCGAACCACAGATGCGACGTGAAGTCGAGGGTTATCGTGCAGTAAAACTACATTGACTCGTCTTCGTCGTTTTTTCTTGATAGCGGCAGATAATTTGGTAAGCTGGGTTGAATATTTGTCAGCGTTTATAGTTTCATTGTGTAATAGCTCATAAAACAGTATGCCTTGCGCATCCCAGAAACAGCAAAGCAGAATTTTTCGGCGGTTCTTTTGACTCGGCTTCGGTTGAGTTGGTGGCGTTTCTTCTCGAGGCAGCCAAAAAGCACGACGTGTATCGTTCTCGTAATAAATCCATGATTCATCTCCAGTAACCAGATCTGACAAAAACTCTTTACGTCGGGGTCGCAGCAAAAGTGACTGACAGATAGCGACACGGACTGCACGACTGGCGTCTGTAAGGATGTGCGGTACACACCGAGCCAAAACTTTTCGATAACCAAGCTCATGCAGATGGTGTTCCACGGTGTGGTGACTGCATTTAAGTGCTTCCGCTAATTCACAAGTGGTAGCATCCGGATTCAACTGCAGTTCGCGGCGCAAATCGTCATCATTCACTGCGGGTGGTCGCCCTGAGCGTGGCTGACTTTCAAGGCTCCTGTCTCCTGATTTAAAACGGACAAACCATCGGGACACCGTCGCATGGCTTGTACTTCCAGCGTTGTTGATATTGTCAGCCGCAGCCCGCGCACTGTGGCCTAACAAGTACTCGTATAAGTATAGTGTTCGAACTTGTCGCTCGTCCATTTTTCTTCAAACTGACTAAACAAATCCCGAGCGCGGCTTTATATACCCTACACCAGAAGTACCTAGAATGTTCTACAACATTCTAGAATATTATCGAAAAAATTGATTTTAAAAAGGAAATGTTATAGATTTTTCTAGTGTGTCTCATTACTT